TAATCAGTCCTAATACTTGTTATTTCCAAATGTTCAATTCAAGTATACAAATCAAATCAAATTCTCTAAAAGTTTTGCGTTAGATGAAAAACATCATGATATAGCTGTTGTAAATAAAATTCTTTCGATTGTGATGTATCATGCGTTCGCATTCTTTGGTATGTAACATTTTCATTGCGAATTTTTCACGATTTTATTTTAATAATATATATTTAAAATATACTTAAAATAAACGAAAAATTAATGTATTCTTAATTGTACAATTTTTGTGGACGTTTGTAATAATAATAATAGTAATAATAAAAAAAAAATTTCTTTTTAACTGCACCTGCTAGGTAGCTTCTGCTTTATGCGCAGATTCTATGATTTCTTTGAGACATCGTCCAAATTCTTCGATTATAAGTCTTTGTGATGTTTCATCATCAAACATATCACGCTCAGCTTCATAAGCTTGTGCTAATAAACATTGACAAGTCATGTCTACTACTTTATCAGTCAAAAAATTAAATGGTTGCCTAGAGAATATAAACAAAAAAATATATACATTTTATTAATTATATCAACGTATCAACCAAAAATATATAATTAATAGTTTTTCAAATACATTATTAACTAGGATCATATAGAATTAACAATTAATTTATTATCTTTAAAATGACATACCTTGCACCAGTATTTGAAACAGCAGGCGGTCTAAAAGCCATTTCGGATAATTGCAGTTTGGCTTTATTTAACGTTAGCTGTGCTGTCCTTACTTCAGCAGCATCTGCCAAATCTTTCAAAGATTTTTTTTCTAAAGTAGGTTCTTCTATATTTCGACATCCAATACATTTACAATTTGCAGAACATGGAATTTTAGCCTAAAATTTATATAATTTCTCTTTCAATATTTTATTTTAATTTAACAAACTAATTCGTTAAATTAAAAAAATACTTAATGTATTTAATGTTATAATTTAGTTAATAATTATTTGCAATACCTCATAACATTCACAATAATTTTTTAAACATCCGCTTCGTTTGCAATTACATCCTTTGTTATGTCTACGTATATCATCACCAGTTTCACGACCTTTCCCAATTTTTGGACGAAAAGCATTTGGATTACGTTCCAAACAAGATTTGATAGCTCTTTGTCTTTCCACTTCATTGCCAAGATTGTTTGAACAATTATTACAATTGCACATATGACAAAATTCTCCATTTGCAAAGCAATCACAATATCTGTGTGCAATTATATCCATGCTTTAAATGCGATATCAATTTTATACGAATATATTTCAAATAAGTCAACTACGAATATTGAATATTTGTACTCCTATAAATAAAGCTTAAAACACTAATGTTCTTTAACATGAAAATAAGTAGCTTTGATTCAAATGTACGTTTCTGAATTACAAGAAGCTTCACCAGACTGTCATTTTTTACAATACAATAGTAACCAACAAACAGTTATTCATTGCCTACTACTATTGGATTTAAACACAATTCTGAATTATCAATGAATAAAATATATTAAATGTATCTTATATTCAATATGAAAAGAAAAGCTATCATACAACTTTTAATATTAATTAGATTTATTTATACTTAGATTAGTCTAAATTACTCACAATTTAAGACATTGCGATTTAGTACAATTACATGGTTTCCTCGGTCTAATACCATTTGGTTCAACATTTGAATATGATCTCTGAGATGATTTACTGTCAGATATAGATCCTGATGTTAAATTATTAGATATATTTTGCAAATTTTGTGTATTTCCTAATAAGTTGGGAGTGGATTGCTGAGATTTTATTTTTCCATCGTCTGTATGCTGCTGTTCCAATGAAACTTAATATAAGTAATACTTTTCTTGTTTTAAATTAAATATAATGTTTAAAATATACTTTATATAGAAATATAAATTATACCTGCTGTATATACTGTGCTGGCAGAACAACAATATTACTAACATTGGAATTAGCCGAAAGAACAGCTTGACCAGATGCAAATTGACTTAAAGCAGATGCTGGTATAGCAACAGCATTTTTAGATTGATTTCCTACTGTTGCAGCAGCAGGGATTAACAACCTCTGACTACTTCCAGTTATTGTAGTCTTTGGTGCTACTGTTCTTAATGATTGATTACCAGTGTTTAAAGGAACAACCTGTAATTAAACTTAAATGTTAACTGATTTAATTAAAATGATGATAAACATTATTTGTCATATGTTTTTGTATATATTTTTATACCTTTACTATTTGTTGTTGTCCACCTAACTTTTGACTTACTCCTACAGTTTGCAAAGTCGTTTGTGCTTTTGATTTGCCTACGGTAACGACATTGGTAGTACCAGATGAAGGAGTACTCACTAATCTAACATATTGCACCTGTAATATGTATATAATAATGTAAATATTATGTAAATTTATATATATATATATATATAATTAATTATATTAAAAATCATATATAATAGAATAAATAATTTTACCTGTCTTCCTGGCATTTGAATTTGATGTACTTGATTGGAACCAGTTACAATATTTTGATTTGCAGGAATTCGAATAACTTGTCCACTTCCTAATACCGTTCCAGGCTTTAAAGAACTCTAAAATAATAATATGTCACATAAAATTAATCAAAGTTTTAATTTAATTATTAATTTATTCGATGTAATTGAAAATAAATTGATTTGTAGATAATTACCTGTCTAATAATCACTTTTTGTGGACTTGTTTGCATATTCGTTTTGCTTGATGAAGAAAATACTGATTGTTGATTAGAAATTGTTGATGTTTTAACTTGAGAATTAATTGTTGGTGCTGGTAATATTTTAGTTGGGGATTTAACAGCACTGCTGGGAACTATTGTCATTTTCGATGATTGAGATGTCGAGGATTGAAGTAATTTGTTGACAATAATGCCCTTTAAGTAATATGAAAATGGTTATATAAGAATTGAATAATAATTTAATATTTTTATAACACGAAGAAATAATATGTACCTGTTTCTGTGGAGTTGACGGTAATATATGTTGAACTTTGTTTGTAGTTAATAATCCTAAATGTTGTGCTTGTGCCAAGGTTATAGTTTTAGTTGGACTTGTCATATTTTGATTACTTACATTACTACTTAAAAACTTGATTGTTTGAGCTGGTTGGATTTCATTCTGTGAACTTGTTATAAGAACTTGTTGTCCTGGTTGTGTTTGACTTCCAGTTAATATCATTTTAGTATAAACCTATGAAAGAATACACTTTGTCATTAATATATATTAAATTAGATTTACTATTAAAATATAAAATAAATAAAATATATAAAACTTGTCTTACATTCCGATTTTGTTGATTACTTTGTACTGAACGTTTGGCTGTTTGCACTGTTTTTACATTTTGTAAATTGCTTAGCGTAATACTTCCTGCATGGCTAGTTGCCATAAGAGGTTTATTTGCCTGTGTTGATCTTAATTGCAGAACACTACCATCTGCAGGTTTGGCCGTTATGAGTGTTTGTGCTATCGATTGTAATTGTCCAGTAGATGCCGATGCCGGATGAGAAATTTTTAAAATTTGGCTGGTACCTTGTCCACTTGCTGGAGATACTATCATGATTGATTGACTTTGAGTTGCTGCACAAATATTTTGTTTAACCTATGAACATTGTTTTATGTATATAAATAAATTAATTTTTTCGATTTATCTTGCAAGGTGATAAAAACGATTTAAAATATAAAAATACCTGCACTGCAGATACGGGAACCCTTTGTAATGACGGTTTAGTTTGAAATATAATATTTTGATTATTTTGACTTGCACTAGTGAAAACTATTTCTTCTGCTTGAATTTGTTCTGAAACGTCAGACATTTCCACATCAGGTACAACAGTTTCAGCCTCAATGTTTTGCTCTATCATTACTTGTTCTTCGTCAGTAGCCATGACTTCTTCCGCATTTATACATTCCAATTCAGCTTGAATATTCGCAAATGCTTCAAAATCATTTGACGAATACTGTTCATTGCTGTGTGAAAGAGTTAGAGCACTAAGATCTCCATCGCCCAATGTACGGGAATCAAGAGCTAGCGGTTCGACTAGAGCCCTCGCATTATGCCCTTTATTTAAAGACATGACGATATTACCTATTAAAAATGAGATATAATATTATAATAATCATCTATTCAGCATAATTATTTATCTATTCCATATTATAATGTATCTATAATTTAAATTGAATAGTAAAAAAAATAGATTAAGTCTCTGTCAATTCAGTTATTAATATTGAACTTTTCTACGACCAATAATAAGATAATTAGATAGACCGTATGGATATTCTCCATTGATTATTCTAATGTTATTTGTTAGCGTATTAAAAGATTTTATTTGTTAGCGTATTAGAAGATTCTATTTGTTAGCATATTAGAAGATTCTATTTGTTAGCGTATTAAAAGATATCAATAATTAAAATATCAAGTTTATCAGTGTCGACGCAGACCACTGTAAACACTACCTGAATATATGTAAGTTTGATATATATACAATAATAATAAATATTGTAAATAATATACTACTAATAAAATATATTAATATAAAGGAATTAATCCAAAAAGATAATCGAATAGAAAATCACTTAACAATATGTTCAGCAAATAAGACCATTAGATAAGAATTTAAAAATTCAAAAATTCAAATCTTGAAGAAACATATAAACACAATTATTGAATAAAATACATCTTAAATACGTACTAATGTTGGCAATAATGCAAGTGACAGGACAATTCTAGACTCTTAATTATTAGAACAATCAAATTTGAATCATGATGGAAAATTCGAAGAATGAACCACTCAGGAACATTAGCGCCATTTATTGCTAGAACGCGCCATTTTCCATAAAACGAACTGGTACACGTATTTAATAAACTTTAATGCACTTATATTAATAAAATGGAAACATTATATTCAACGTAAAGCACTCCAAGTATTAATCCGTTAAATTAAACGAGAATCTTTTTAAATATAAGCTTGATATCGAATAAAACAAAACTTAACCTAAAACTTATTAATTCGTATCAGGTACGTACAGTGTTGGGTGGGGGCGTGCCACGAAAGTCACATTATTTATGATAAAATTGTTATACATATAGCAAACATGTCACAGTAAACATTACAATGCCATTTAAATGCTCTCAGAAAGAAATTCCACGATTTATCGTACATACCTACGCGTTCCCTTGATATCTCGAATTTGTTCAAAATCACGCGCCCACCATTGCTGTCCCACAGTGCACTACGCACCGCTGTGTACAAACAGACTTAAAGGTCGTTTAAAGCTAAAACACCAAATTACCGATTAAATAAACGTTTTACGATAAACACCAAATAAATTCTCTTTGCGATTGAGCTAGGGAGAATCGATATTCCGTTTAACAGCTAAATTGACCAACAATGCAAAGGGATATTTTCGCGCACTTTGCAGATTTCGATTTCGCCATTTTTCTCGTTCCGCGGCTAAAAACACGTCAACCTATGAGCGCCCCCTTGAACCAATAAAAAAGAAAATTATCTGACAAAATGTTCATCTCGAAGGCGCTAAAAGAAATAATATGTATGAAATTGAATCATTCTAATTATCATTTTTTTCGAAGATTTTTCTAATATATTTTTTAGATTTTTTTCCGTTTAATATCTTACTTAATCTATATAAAAAAAAGATAAATATAAAAAATGAGTGTATAATTCATGAAGTCGTAAAGATAAATAGTTATTTTGAGACCTTTATTTTCTATTACATATTAAAATCTACTACTTCCTCTCTGAAAAGATATATTAATCATATGTAATATATATACACGCGTGGGCAATTAAACATATTTTTTAATATATAAATAATTAATTGAATTTTCTGTTGTTTAATAAGTTTCCATAACGACGATATATTGTTTAAATATTTGACATTAAATGTTTAAAGATTATTCCTTCTTTGGCGGGAAAGTAATCGTACGATTGGTCAAATTTTACGATATTATTATTTGATTGGTTAAAATATATTCGATATAATATTCTCTTCATAATATATATATATGTATATATATATATATATATCTAAAAATTAAACAATATATTATTTTAATAATAGAAAATAATTTTATTACCCAATTAATTTTTTAAATTTATTTCTACAAAATGTGATAATATTATTAGTCAATACAGTGACTAAATACATATATTGAGCATGTGTGTTGCGTTCGTATGTATTTTTCTAGTATAGAAAATTTTAACAACGCCACCAAACGACATCATGAAATTATTTTGTAGAAATAGAAGTTGGTCAATTTAGATATGATGAATATTGGTATTTGTTCAGAAATAAATTATAGTTCGTGGCCTATGTTCGTCGAAAAGATGGTGACGGTAGCCGCTGTACGTCAACAACTCGCAAATTTGATACATTCTGGCGGTTCTCACAAGGATCAAGCCGAAAAGTATGTACAATTAAATATATCTTATTTATATTATTATTAATTGATGAATAAAGATATATGAATTTTTTCTTTTATTTTTAGATATCGTTCAATTTTAGATGCGATACTAGCATCGGCTAACTCAAATCAAACACAAGGAAACGGTGAGCTCGTCGAGGCTTTAAAAGTTTTCATTGAATCAAGTATGTTATTATTATTATTATCATTATCATTATCATTATCGTCATCATCATCGTCATCATTATCATCATCATCATTATCATCATCATCATCATTATCATCAATGTTTTCTAATTGAAATGTTCATTTATTTTTTAGATACAAATATAAAAAGTAATAACGTAAGTTTGTTTGTTTCAGTTGTCAATGAAAATGTAAGTTTAGTAATATCAAGACAAGTTTTAACAGATGTTAGTACCAGATTACAAACCCTACCTGATGAAATTTCGAAGGCTGTCTCACATTATACTTTAGATAAGGTATTTAAATATTTATGAATTAGAATAGAATACTTCCATCAAATTAGAAAGATATTTGAATAGATGTTTATGTAGGTTCAACCCCGTGTTATATCTTTCGAAGAACAGGTAGCTAGTATAAGGCAACACTTAGCTGATATTTATGAACGTAATCAAAATTGGCGAGAAGCAGCTAATGTCTTAGTTGGAATTCCTCTTGAGACGGGCCAAAAGTAATTATTTTGAATATGAAATTTTATATACATTAATAATAGTAATCTACTAATAATTTCTTTAGCAATTTTGATGTAATAAATAATATGAAATCAATATCTTACAGACAATATACTGTCGATTACAAACTCGAAACTTATCTTAAGATTGCACGATTGTATCTAGAAGATGATGATCCAGTACAAGCTGAAGCGTTTATTAATAGAGCATCTCTCTTGCAAGTAATTATTTCTAATATATTTTATTTGTAATAGCATCAATTCTCTATTATGTTTCAATTATTATCTTTCTCTTTCGTTATATTATAGGCGGAGTCTAAAAATGAACAATTACAGATCTATTATAAAGTTTGTTATGCAAGAGTATTAGATTACAGGAGAAAATTTATAGAAGCGGCACAGAGGTATAATGAATTGTCATACAGATCTATCATACATGAAGATGAACGAATGACTGCTCTTAGAAATGCGTTAATTTGTACAGTACTTGCTTCTGCAGGTAATTATATCTTATTACGTTTTTTTCATCCATAAAATATCGTTATAACAAATTAGAAATTAATATTTAATAGGACAGCAAAGAAGTCGTATGCTAGCGACATTATTCAAAGATGAACGTTGTCAACAACTTCCCGCGTATTCGATCTTGGAAAAGATGTACTTGGATCGTATAATCCGTCGTTCCGAACTTCAAGAATTTGAAGCTCTTCTACAACCGCATCAAAAAGCTTGTACTATCGATGGGTTGGGATCTACTATACTTGATAGAGCTGTTATCGAACATAATTTATTATCGGCTAGTAAATTATATAACAATATTACTTTCGAAGAATTGGGCGCTTTGCTGGAGATTCCACCAACAAAAGCTGAAAAAATTGCTAGTCAAATGATTACTGAAAGCAGAATGAATGGTTATATAGATCAGATAGATTCCATTGTACATTTTGAAAGTAAGTGTAATTATAATTAAATATATGTTTTGTAGACGAAAAATATCCTTTTTACTCTAAAACAATTCGTTTTTCCAGCACGCGAAACATTACCTACTTGGGACAAACAAATACAGTCATTGTGTTATCAAGTTAATCAGATAATAGAAAAGATCGCACAAACTGAACCAGAATGGATTGCAAAAGCGATGGAAGATCAATTAGTTCACTAACATCAGTCTTCAATTAATAATGAAAAGAATTCACACATTATAGGTAATCTACTTTTGTGTTTAATTCTTCATCGAGCATTGAGTTACTCATCATTGTTTTATGGTCAAACAAAAAGATTTGTTTTGCTAGGAAAACTTACACTTTAGCATATATAAAATCTCAGTTGTATTATTATTATTATTATTATTATTATTATATAGCGATACAATTTTTTCAAAACTTAAAAACTTGTAAGCACCATATAAAAATTCTAGAAAACTTTGATGTGTCTAATTTATAGATTACCCAATTTTTGTCTTTGTATTCAAGAAAAAGATTGAGCAAATTTATAAAATAAAAAAAGCCGGTAGTATATACTGATTTATAAATATAGTAAAAAAAACAAAAATTAAATATATTTTCTGTACAAATTACATTCTCCCTTGTTATCAGCAACTATATATAATGTCATTAATATTAAAGAAATAGAAAAGATATTTATATTATTTATACAATTTTTTAAATATTTTTTATTACTCATAATAATGAAATTTATATGACAAAACCTTAACTTGTTACTTTCAAAACTTATTTATACTTTCTATATAAAATAAAACTGTGGAATAATAACTATAAAATTGTGTTGGTGATATAATTGAAACTTGGAAAACATAAACTATATTTAGTATAAGGATCGCAATTATATATTGAAATTTTTGTTATATGTTTTGATTGCATATGTATAAGTATATGTATATATATATATACATATTATGTATCATGAAGAAGCGATTCTAAGTCCTAGTCTAGTCTAGTGAAAAATGAGAATATAAAACAAAAGTAAACTCTTTTGTTAATTAAAGTCAATTTATTAATTCAAATAATATTTCGTAATTTGTTTAATAAATTAGAAAATAAAATGGCAGTTATTTATCAAGAATTGAAAAATATACCTACCCTAGTAGTATATGCAGTGATATCCCAGCAATAATGAGAAATAGTAATATATATATATATGCACAATTTTCTTTTTTCTTTCTTTTTTTTAATAGTTACTTGACGTAGATAATAAAAATGTAAAGACTAAAGAAAGATATTGTCTTTGCAATTTACTAGAGCTAGACAACGACTTAATCTCACTATTTACACCATACGTATAATTGTATATATGAGAATATTGTGTACCACATGCATCTACCTTTATAATATTACATATTATACTAGGAACAAAATTGTTGTAATGATAACAAATTTTACTTATATGCAAAATATTTAGTTGTCAATAAAATGTATTATTGTTCAGTTTGTGAATGAATTCTTACATAAATACATTAGTGAGAAATTGCTAAATTTTGTTTTGTGAATAATTCAAAAAAGTGAACGTACTGCAATCATACTATTGCAATTTTTTTGTATAGCACATAAAGGCAATTAAATTTAATATTAATTTTATGTGAATGTAATCTTTTTTTCTATATGTTTTTTATCTATTTTTTTTTGGTACAACATCGTGTAGCAAATATTTTATATTCTGTGTTACAGGATTCAACTGCTCAGACAAATTAGCAATAAATTATTATACATGTCTATAATATTATCGAAGTATAGAAGGAATAATCATACCACACTAATTTCTTTTTTTTTTACCTGTGTTATAGAAGATACTTTTCTTGAACAATTCAATGTATTTTATTCCATGATCGTGACATTATATAGTTTAGTCCCTGTAACTGCTTAGAAGTGATGCATGATATTTTTTTTCGTGTGGCATCTAATTAAGGATAAACCTATCTACATGTTATAGGTAATATTTTTATTTGAAGCATGTATTGTGTTGCAGTTTTTATGACATCAAAGTCATGAAAGTAATAACTGTTTGAAACGTCTTTTTTTTCTCTGTTAAAGGTTTTATATTTAAGCCTCGAGATTTAATGCTAAACCAATTTTGTGACCACCGGAACTAAAGTTCTTTCCATCAATGTTGGTAGAAAGAGTCAAAGTTACGCCTGTAAAATGAATTGATGAAAATACACGGTAACAAAAAATATAAACGAAAAAATATCCTATAGCGCGTGGACTTACCATCACGAAGTTTCTGTTGATATCCCAACCCTATCTGAAGTTGAGAATTAACTTTAGCCCTAACACTCGCATCATTATCAAGATTATATTTGGTACCAAGTCCAAATTGTGTAACATTGTTACTGGAATTCCAAGCCAGATTAATGGCACCTTCTAAATCAGGTTTGACCTTATGATAAATGGAGGCCCCAAATTCACGTCCATTGTCCCTATATTTAGATATTACAAAAACATCAATTTTATTTTTCATTAATAAAAATTACCAATATTTATTTTTAAAAATTTAATACTTACACACAAGTGTGGAAACCAAAGTCAGAAGCAGTAAATCCAAGAGCAAAATTGTTCTTTGTAAGCTTGCTTCTCTGCGAGTCGAAAGAAGCTTGATAGCCGGCGAGCCATCCTGAAAGCAATAAAAAACAATAAATTAGAAGTTACGTTAAAATCTTTTGTACCTATTCTGTTATCATCTTACATGGTTCCCTGGAATATCTTGGAAATCACAAAGACGAATCAAGGAAAGGATTAGAAAGGAGCGCATATGGAATGGATCTAAACAATAAAATGTTAACCAGTTTCAGGAAAGTATAGTTTGAAACAAGAATTCCGGGAAATAGGAATAATAACATAACAATAAAAGAATATAACACTATGCATTATTATCCAAATTGCAAAAGTTTTTTGCCTAAACATGAGAAACACAAGTTTTACTTGTGGTAAATCTTATGGATCAAACATACGAAGCATGAAATAAAATAACATCAATTTTGACATGCAGCTCCATGTGTTAAATCATAATGTAAGGGGTTGATTAATAATAACAATTAGATATGTATTTTTAAAAAATATTAATAATTACCTTGATATCCTACAACTGCAGTTGCATTAATGAGTGGACCAGTAGTAAGACTTAAATCGAAGTCAGCAGTTGCCGATACATTTTCATGTTTGTAAGTAGTCTTCAATTGTCCAGTCTTAGTGCTACATTAAAGAAAAAGCTTATATTTAGCTATGTCAATTTTATATCAACAATTGTAAAATAAGATCTCTTACCCAGTCTGAGGTGAGAAAGTACAACTATAACCGATGCTAAGTCCACTAAGTAATTTATCCGCAATAGTTACATCAGTTGCAAGAGTGTTATCGGTATTCCATTTCTCACTGAATGTTAAACCATATTCTTTAATTTTATACTTGGTTTCCAAAGTAGCGAATACTTTTCCAGTATCTTGATTGGATACTCCACCACTGGAGAACTCAACTCCAGAATCAGTCTTGGTTTTGACATCTAATTTTAAGAGGCCGAAATGATAACCATTGGAAAAAACATCGCGTGCACTTTTTCCAAGATCTTTGTACGTCGGGGGAGCCATATTTGTCAAAGTTTCTGAAAAATTAATATTACTATGTTATATATTTTGTATTTTTTTTTTTATTAACCAAATAAGTGTTTAAAATTTATATTGCAATTTTGTAAATACACACATTATATATTATATTTGTTTTTATAATAATGACAATAAATTTATCATCATATATATGAACACATACATACATACATACATATATAAAATATTTTAATTATATAATAATTAAGAAAAGTGATTTGGATATAAGTAAAAGTACTCGAATACAAAGTATTAATTATAGAAATTAAATATAAAATATTTCTCAGACAGAGACATTGTTTGAATAGAAAAAAAAAAAAAGAAAGTAAGAAAATATGTCAAGAAACAAAAAAAAAATGATTTTTAATCGAAGAACTATTAAAGAAAATATCAGCAATAATTTAATTTTTGTAAATATAAAAATATATTACGTTGTTAGGTATTGGTTATGAGAACGGTGGTTCGATAGCGTTACGCGAAAATGGAATGATATTGACCTGTTTCAGATATTACATAAGGAGCAAAAAAAATGATTTTTCTTACATCCGAATAAGACAAATTTATTCCGAGTTTAATAAGAAAGATTACTTATAAATCGTAGATAAATAAATCATTAAATTCGATTATCATAGGATAAGAAAGTAATTTTGAAAGAGAAGAGACACATTACAAGGTAAAGATCATTGAATTTTCGTGAACGACATTGTTCGAACTAATCAAAGCCGGTAGTTACAATTTATTACATATCAATTAAGTCGTGCCTGTGATATTAATACGTTTATCAATAATACGACTACTAATTCTTGTTAATAATAATTCTTATTAATTCAATTTTACTTACAATTTTATGTTAGGAGATTAAGCGAGTATAGGAAATGGTGTGACTTCAGACAAGAATTGCGTTACGCGAGACAGTCTACCGCTGATACTGAGGGGAGATACAGGCTTATGACCGTTTGCGCATGCGCAGAGCTATACCTCAAATTTACAAATATTTTTTGACGCTATTTTTATGCATTCAGTTAGTCTCACACAGAGACAACGACTGACTAATTCTAATTATTCTTATTTCCATTATCCCCCTATCGATTATTATATTTATATTTATTAACTTAAAATCCAATTTTTTAACAATTTAATTGTTGCATCGATCATCCTCCAGACTATTACGTAACCTTAAAGAAGGAACTTTCTTCCCCCTCCCTTCAACACCGCATAGGCGTGGATTTTGCACGTATCTGTATTATCTGTACGCTGTTTATTGAACTTTTTCATTAAAAATATTGTATTAAAATTAAATTCTTTTTCTTTTTCGTTAAATGCATACAATGTATATTTGATAATCGATAGATATTACAATCGATTATTTGTACGATATCAAATTTTAATTTCCAACTAACTTCTCGACTCTTCAAAATTCTTTTTTTATTTTTATTTGTTCTTCTTTTTTTTTTTTTTAATATATACAATATGGTATCCATCGATTTAGTAATTGATACATATAATAGGTATTACAATAAAGTACTTGGAATATATGAAATTCGAATTTTCAATTAATTTCTCGAATCTTTATTTAAATTATTTTTTTTTTTTTAATATTTTAGAACCAAATTATACTTGGAGACGTAAAAAGAAAAACAATTATAACACGTCCCTGAAAATCTCGTATCTCTTATGAAATCGTATATTATTCGTATTATGTAGTTTACGTACCAAGATCTTCATAGTCTGTTGCTCATAGTAGTACCGTAAAGCGTATTATGTGCCAATAAATTATTTATCCTGACACCAATACATATTACCGAGAAAGAAACATTTATTAGATACCTTTAGCAATTAGTTATCATACCTTCTAATGATTATATTTCTAAACAGTGCTTTTTTATAAAAAAGAAAAGGTTCCGGTATTCACTTCTTATCAAGCTTTTTATTAAAGAAAATTGTATTCAAATATATATATATATATATTATTTAAATGAAATTTAAAGCAGCCTATCCTATTCCACGGAGCTCATAAAAAATTAAACATATTTTATTCTTTTTTTTTTTAATATTTCTTAATCGCTTTGGAAAAATTAAAAATATCGTAAAAAAAGCCGCCGAAACGCTCTTCCATTGCGTTACATTATAAAATAAAGCACAGCTTTATAATTATAAATACTTATTACTTATAATTATATAACTTATTATTTATAATTATATATTACACTTATAATATTTTCTATTTCAATGTTAAATTAACATGTAACGATAAAACACAAGTGCGTTTATTGAACCTTATAGTACGTGCTGGTGCACGCGACATCGAATGTCTGCTATATAAGTAAAATTAGATTGAAAATAAAATTAAAACATAACACGTACCGCAATATATTTAAGCCCTTGATAGAACAATACTAATAAGCATTGTCGTTTAATAATAGACGATGAATTATTTATAGCTGTTGCATCTTTTTTTATTGTCTTGCTCAAGTTTTTTCAAATCTTATTTCGTTTATTTCATTTGTTTATTTAATATTTTTTTTTTAATTTTAAATATGAGAAAAGTTGATATTAGTTTAATAATTAATTAATGTTAGTTAAGAGACTTTGTATAGACCAAGTGAGGAATCTAAAAATACATCTACTGCTGGTCCACGTTGAAACTATGCAAAACGTACTTCTAGTATACATCTGTTGTACTCAAGTCGATGATAGAACTTGGTAGCACGTTCTAGATTATATTATTGGCAAGATTAGCCAGTTAGTATTTTTGTTAAAACCTATATGTATATAAGGAACTGACTGTATGTTGTTTTTAGTCGTCCGGAAGTATTCGACAAAGCCGTTTGCTAAAAGTTGTGCAAAAATAAATTAAATAAAGATTTAACAATTAACGAAGATAAATCATGTCAGAACAAAAAGTACGTGTTTATTTCTTCTTTTTATATAAATAATATATCTTCTTTGTGGTTCGTTTTAATTATTAATTGAAAGTGAATAGTTTCTAAAGTACATACAAGTGAAATTATGAAGTGTTCATGTTTTATTTTTTGTTATTATTTATAATAATAATTTAATTACATGCATATTTGTCAAGTCAAAATATTGAAATTTATTACAATGTATATTTGTTTAGGAATCCGCTCAAACGAAGGCTTATAACATTCGTCAAAATGATCAAGTGGGAAGGTAAAATCGATTAAAATTTATTTGATTATTTTAATTAACATGTACAGAAAAAAAAGGATTACAGAAAAAAGGATACAGGAAAAAAAGGAAAGATAAGAAAATTTGATTGTTGGTGTTGTACAGGTATATGGTTGCAAGTAGAGAATTAAAACCAGGTGAAGAAATTTTAACCGAGATGCCATTTGTTGTTGGACCAAAAGCTTTCACTTATCCCTTGTGTCTTTCTTGTTATGCACCATGGTCATCCAGCCTTGAAGAGAAACCACTTTGTTCGAAATGCAGTTGGCCGGTCTGTGGCCCGGAATGTGAAAATCAACCACAACATAAAGACTACGAGTGTCTGGTAATTTACTCATTCATTTAATATTATGAATCCGTGATAAAAATATATTTTCACATATGTATTTATTTAATTATGATGATGTAGGTGTTCGTAGAAGCAAAAGAAAAATTTAACATAGCCGCAGCTTTGGAACAAAATAACGAAAATGGAATTCCCCAATTGGAATGTATCACACCTCTTAGATTATTATTGGAGTCATTAAAAAATCCCGAAAGATGGGAAAAGGAAGTGAAAAATATGGAGGCCCATAATAAAATGAGAATTCAAAAACCACATTGGAAATCGGATCACGTGAACGTCGTTGAATATTTAAGGAAACAACTTAAATTTGATAAGTATGATTAAGAATTAAACAATGACATTTAATTCATTTACAATTATTTTTTTTGTAATCCATCGATTAATATTATATCAGCGATCTATTATTAATTCTAGATTTTCCGAAGAAGAAATACAAACGGCTTGTGGTATCTTGGAAATTAATACTTTTGAAATAAGAACGTCGAGAGGATTCACTGCTAGAGCACTTTATCCAACAGTTGCAATGATGAATCATTCTTGTGTTTCAAACACATGTCATAGTGTATCCCCCTCGGATTACAGGTAAGCATTTCATTTTTTTTTTTAATTATATTTATTATTATCAACCTTTTTTTTTAATTTACTTTGCCTGTCTAGAATCGTAACGTACATTGTAAGTGTATACATTGGGAACAATTAAGATCTAACAGCTATGGTGTTAGTACACCACTTATTGTTAGATACCATAACTGGTAATTAAGTCTGCTGCTTCTTTTTTTTTTTTATTCATTTTCAGGGTATTCTTACGCACTACTACCATGGTACCTGAGGGCGGTGAACTTTACGGAAGTTACACGCATTCTCTATTACCAACAATGCTTAGAAGGGAACACCTTCTCGAAGGGAAACACTTTGCGTGTGCTTGCCCACGTTGTTCCGATCCAACCGAGCTGGGAACTCACATGTCTACGTTGAAATGTAATAAATGTGATAATGGGATTGTTTTACCGTTGGATTCTTTAGGTATTTGAAATAATTATCGCGTTATTGTAGAATAGTTAATTTATTCATAATTTTCCTATACATATATATGTATCAATTAAATATATTATCATTATTTATTTTACATTGAACAGATGAGAATAGTGTATGGAAATGTACTCATTGTGAATTCTCAACTCCTGGCAAAGCGGTTAAAAAAGTCTTCCAAATAATCTCTGCCGACGTTGAAGCTGTCGAAAACATAAGTGGTGCTGATGGGGCTGATGCCATTCAAGAGAGAGAAACTGTTATTAAAAAATATCATTCGGTTTTACATCCACGACATGCTTTTCTTACAATGTTGAGGTGAGCATACAGGATGAGAAAATATTTCTTAGATAGACGACAAATTCTTAAGTAATTTTACTTTTTTCAAACTGTAAAACTATTAACTTAAAAAGTATCGAAAAAGAATAATTAATTTTTAAAATTATATAAGATAATGTTGATCCAAAAAATTATTATATTTTAGGCATTCGTTGACTCAAATGTATGGTCGAGTCGATGAATATTTATTGGATGATTTACCAATTGTAGTGTTAGAACACAAAGTTGACATGTGTAAATTATTACTTCAAGTATTGAACGTCATAGAACCTGGTTACTCGCGAATAAGAGGTAAATAACTGTATATAAGTGTGTATATAGATAAGTAATATAAGGATATATACAAAAAATCTAATTAATAAATGAATTGAATCGTGAATGTGTTATCTAGGGATGACATTGTACGAATTACACGCACCTCTCCTTTTCTTGGCAAAGGATCAATGGAATGCCGGTACTATCGATCAAGCTGGATTAAAATCAAAAATGATAGAAGCTTTGGTAATATTGAAAGAAGCTGCAACTATCTTAACTTTAGAACCTGCAGATACACCAGAAGGTCAAATAGGAATTGTCGCTAAACAATCATTAGAACAACTCGAACAATCTATTCAAGAATTATAATTTATTTATAGAATTAATTGATATATAATATTATTTATGAATGTATGTATTATATGTATAATTTTTCTTTAAGCGTACACAATAAAATATTTTAATGATAATAAAACCAAGTTTCTTGATTTACGATAATTTATATATATATATATATATATATATTTGTATTTTTATTTTTTTTTAGTATGCACCCCCGCAATGCAAAAGATGCATGTGTGCAATTTCGTTTCTAATTTTGTTCTCGTATCATGTGCCCCCTCTAACAGCGACAGATCGGCTTCTAAGAATACTGTAGTGTATCGTGTGAAAGTGCAGCTTCCTACATTTCGATGTTGGTTCATTGCACGTGAAAATCTATCCATTATTTAGCGAGAACGTTCGATATGGTCGTATAAAAATTAAGAAATTTGACAATTAATCGAGAACATGTCGAAAGAAATTAATAAGAACAAGTCATCCTCTATTTCGAAACCACAAACGTACAAGCTTGCGCATTCGGAAAAATTCGGAAGGTACAATTTGTCTACGTGTGATTCACACATCATATTTTTCTTTTTATTTTGTAGATATTTAATAGCTGGGAAAAATTTAAAAGCTGGCGAAGTAATACTTCGAGAAAAACCAGTTGCAGTTGGCCCTGGAGTATTCGACAAAGATTACTTTTGTTTTGCCTGCTTAAAATTATTAAATAAAATTAACAAGAAATTGCAATATGTTTGCACGAAATGTTCCGTTGCTCCTTTATGTAGTTCATCTTGCGAGGTAACAATAATTTGTTTGTTTGTAAAAATAAAGATTTTCCCTCGACAAATGTTAATAATTGTTCGTAGAAAAATCCTAGTCATCATACACCCGAAGAGTGTAAGCTATTCAAGGACAACGAAAAGATATCGAAGGATAACGTGTACGATATCATAGGAATATTACTAACTTTGAGATTATTTCTCTTAAAAGATCGAGATCCAGATCTATGGGACAAAGTGAGTCGTATGGAATCACACATGGATCAAAGAAGAGGCACTCTCGTTTGGAAGGATAGAGAAGTTAACGTTATCAAAGTAAATTAAAAAACAAGAAAGAAAAAACTATGGATTGATAACTTGTAAAAAAAAAAAGATATCATTACAAGTACAATTACGCTTACAATTAGATATTTCGTGATCTTCAACTGGTGACCAATGACGACGATATCACTACGACGTCGGATTTTTTACAACGGCTTTGTGGTATTCTCGATGTAAATACTTTTGAATTACGTCCACCTGGTAGATTGGATGCTTTAGTTCTACGTGGATTGTACTTGGAAGCCTCTCTTATCGCTCATGATTGTAGAGCTAATACTCACATTACTGTTGATGATAATTTTCAACTCACTGTTTATGCCAGTTTACCGATCAAAGAAAATGACGTCATTTACTTCAATTATACTTCGTCACTTTTGGTTTGTTTGTCTTATAAACAGTTAGATCAAACATGAAGATATAATTATCGAATATTATTTGCTTTTTTTTTTTATTTATTTAGGGTTCAGCCGAAAGAAGAGAACATCTCCGAGAAGAGAAATATTTCGAATGTGAATGTACACTTTGTAAAGATCCGTATGAATTAGGTTCTTATTTAAGTAGCATTCGATGTCCACGTTGCAAAGATGGTTATATTGGAGCAGAAAATCCTTTAAAAACTAAACCGTACGAACGTGACTGTAAATGGCGATGTAATAGATGCAGAAAAACGTACGGTGGTTATCTCATTAGAGCAACTTTGAACATAACTCGAACACTTATCCATGAATGCAGTAAATCCGATGTCAAAGTTCGTATTGATTTCTATATCAACATGTTCATATAAATTCGATTGCAAAATTTGTACTATTCAAGTCTTTTTTTATTATTTGATTTTTTAATCGCAGGATTTGGAATCGTTAATTAAGAAACTTACGCAATCTTTTCATCCTAATCATTATCTTTTATTGGCATTGAAACAAAAATTATTAACAATCTATAGAAAACAAGTAGCGTCATCGAATCCTAAAAAAAAAATTATTCAAAAAATGCTCAATTTATGTAAGGAAATTCTTGAAGTATTGGAATTGGTAGAACCTGGAATTTCTCGATTGAAAGGTAAGTAATTATGTAGTAATCGATTGGTAAAGAAACGATCAATGCTTATATGTAGTTAATGCTGTCATTGGGAAAAGCTTTCTCACGCTTAAATTAAAATTAGAACCTGCTTATGGATAGTTTAGAATTTTTTGCTTTATTTTTATATGCTTATATAATTGGTAGTTAGAAATTAGACCAAATATATATATATATATATATATATATATATGAATATATATATTGATAAATGATATAATAACAATAATATATATTTTATAAATATATAAAATATATAAATAATATATCAGATAGATATACCAAAAATCAAAGGCCTTCTTTAAAAAGTGTTTGAAAGCATTCATAAAAAACGAAGGAGCGTGAGTTATTTCGTAAAGCATGAGTTTTCAGGTATAATGTTATACGAAATGCACTTGCCTTTGGTGTTACTGGCTAATCGTGCTTACGCAGCGCACGAAATTTCCCCCATGGAAATGTCTTCTCAGCTTCAAGAAGCTGGAATACTTCTCAGAAAAGCTTTGACAATGCTTCTTTTGGAACCCGTTGGAACACCCGAGGGACAATTAGCTAAACGTGCTTTACAAGAATTAAAAATGCTCAATCAAAATATAGCCGATGCTGAAATGCTACAACAATTACAGGAAAAATCTAATTCACGTTTACGTAAAGTAAAAAAGAAATAATTGATGAAAAATTTTATTGAAAATAATTGTTCAATTCTAATATACTTATATCGATTGTTGAGTTGTTAATAAAAATATTATGCACTGTTATTATATTCTTGTGAATCCAATTTAATTATTTATATATATATATATATACGCGTAATAATTAATTATTTAATTATAAAAAAATTCGTACTATTTCTTTTTAATGTGATTTGAAAAATTAGGTGGTAGTCGTATTAATAGTAACTCGACTTATAATCGATACGTTTGGATTTTCAAAACAAATGCATGTAGATATTAATTGAAACTGCTGTAATTATGAAATATATATAATATCATATTTTTATTTTGGTATTTATTTATATAAATATTGTAATTTTTTAAATTATTATATATATATTATTTAATCATAAAATTTAATTACAAAAAAGTAAAGAATATATATATAAATACCGGAAGTATGAAGCGCCATGGCAGGCGGTTAAGGTCAAAATAGTGCATTTTGGGAATATGAATTTAGGAAAATTTATGACATTAAAGTAACGGTACAATCTCTATTGTTCGATAATAATATATATATGTATTGAAGCTTATTATGTGATACTTAAGAAATATATATTAGTCATTTTGTATAAGAAAATTATAGACATAACCTCATTTTGTGACAAGTATTCCAATTTTGTGAGCATAAATAAAAAACAAAAAAGCAAATAAATATAAAAGGTTGTTATTTATAGTCTACCAAATAACATGCTTTTTTCGTCTATTCAAAACACATAAATACTTCAGTGTAAGTATTATACATATATATTTTGTTTCATAATTGTGAAACCTTATAAGATTTTCTTTTTTAACTTTGAACAATAATGTTATTATATTATAGGTCACTATTAATCTAGCATTATGTTTCGTCAAAAATACATTCGAATATGTCTCCCTGCTTGTTTAGCAATAGTTTTACATTTTTCTCTACATCGCATCGAAGAAGGACATGTTGGTGTTTATTTTAGAGTAAGTTGTATCTTATATTAAATTTTGCATCTCTAGAAATAATGAGAAATTAATTAACTTGTTTAATTGATTTGCTTTAGGGTGGTGCTTTGTTGCCATATGTTAGTAATCCTGGATTTCATATGATGATACCTATATTAACAACATATCGGTCTGTTCAAGTTACATTACAGACAGATGAAGTTAAAAATGTACCTTGCGGTACCAGTGGTGGTGTAATGATCTATTTTGATCGCATAGAGGTTGTAAATATTTTAGATGCAAACAGTGGTAAGAACCTATACATATAATACTAGTAAAACTATAATCATTTTAAAAATAATTTGTTTATATATTTATTTCATTTTGTTGTTACAGTTTACACTATGGTAAGAAATTTTACTGCTGATTATGATCGTACTTTGATTTTTAACAAAGTACATCATGAATTGAATCAATTTTGTTCGGTACATACCTTACATGAAGTATATATTGATCTATTTGATCAAATAGATGAAAATTTAAAAACTGCCTTGCAAAAAGATCTTAACGATTTAGCACCAGGACTTAACATTCAAGCGGTAAGAGTTACCAAACCAAAAATTCCTGAGACAATCAGGAAAAATTATGAATTAATGTAAGTACTTTATTTTGAAGAAACTAAATGATAAGTGGAATCTAATTCAATGATACATATTTTTAAATTTAGGGAAGCAGAAAAAACAAAACTATTGATATCTACGCAACATCAAAAAGTTGTTGAAAAAGATGCTGAAACAGATAGAAAAAAGGCTGTAATAGAAGCTGAAAAGGAAGCACAAGTTGCAAAGATACAGTACAATCAAAAAATCATGGAAAAGCAGTCGCTTCTACAAATTGCGTCTATTGAGGATGAAATGCACGTCGCTAGACAAAAAAGTCGTTCCGATGCAGAGTATTATCAATTGAGAATGCAAGCGGAAGCTAACAAATTACTTCTATCTAAAGAATTTTTAGAATTAAAGAAGTACGAAGCTTTAACTCAAAATACAAAAGTGTATTATGGACAAGATATTCCAAAAATGTTTATGTACGGTGGTTGCAATAACGATCAAGATTCGCGCATAAATATTAAAGAAACTTAGTCACAAATTTCATTAACTTAATTTGTTAATTAAGCATCACAGTAACTAATTGCGATGATAAGCTAGATTAACACATTGCGTACGGGTCATGAGACATCACGTTTTAATGTTTTTTTATACACGTGCGTTGATGACTCAAGGAATTAAAATTAAATGAATGTTTCTGTTACGTTATCAAGGCAAAAAAGCTTTGCATATTCTTATGACAAATAATTAGCGAAATAAATATATATCGAAATTCCGAAATAGTAGAAAATAATCAGTCAGTACTATTATTATACCAGTAGCTATCATACTTTATAAAATGTTTTGTCGTTGTGCAACAGATTGTTATTTAAAAGTCCTTGTATTAATTTGTGAGGTTACAGTTTTTTAATTATTTTATCTAATAGATCTTTATTCTAAAAAAATAGCAAAATGTCTTATAGAAATAAAGAAAATAAAAGTTAAGATGAATTATTGTTTGATGATTTATCGAATACACCAAATAACAGTTTAAATGAAAATGAGCTTAGTGATAATAACAACATTCTTTAATTAAGTTAAGTTATTAAACAAAGAAAAAGAATGAATATTAAAAAAGTGCATTTCTGCATTGTACAAAGATTTTTTGTAGTGAGCCAAAATGTGCGAGCCCTGGAAGCGCGTTGAACGAGCAAAGTTTCGAACGCAATGTGTTAAGAAGTACAGTGTATCGAAATCAGAATTATGTGATTAATTTTAAAGTATCACACACACATATATAATATGTAATATATTTTTTTGGAATATTTTTATTTAACATATATATTTAACGATAAAAGTATTTGCACAAAAACATATACTTTTTTTCTTATGTGTCATTAGATTTAATTGGCGATGAATAATGTTACCATATTTTTAAAAATAAATGAACATTGAAAAATATTTATTTTGTTCAACTCATTACGTTTCAAATTTTACCGCCACAAAAGAGGGATACTTAAACGACACTAGTACACCTGTTGACGAAGAGAAACACAACTGAAACCTCCCTAAATTGATACAAAGAAAATGTCAATTTGCTTTGTACGCGCGTAAAATAAGTCACAGCTGATAAAATGTTAACGTTATTGCAATAAATAGATATTATTATTTTATGTTTATTAATTGGTAAATTGTGAACAAGAAAAAAGAGGAATAAAAAATGACAGCAGTAAGTTTAAATATTATTTTTTATATTAATTTCTCAAGAATGAAAGAAAAGTTTACGATCTAATCGATCTTTTCAGGTTATGTTATTGCATGTTTAAAATATGAAATATCTGAAAATTATCTTGTTAATTTTAAAAATAAATTTCAGGAACATAAAAAATATTTAAATGGTCTTTTAAATAGCATAGAAGGCCTACATAGTATATTAATAACTGACCGAGATGGTGTACCTGTTGTATCTGTAGCGGATGAAAAAGCACCAGAGCTTGCTATGAGGGCAAGTTTTCTTTCCACATTTGGAATGGCTACAGATCAAGCTAGTAAATTAGGACTTGGAAAAAATAAAATAGTTATTTGTATTTATAGCAGTTATCAGGTATTTCAATACAATCATTCTATAAAATATAACACATGCATATACAGCACGTATGTTTTATTTCATATGTATATTTTCATCAGGTCGTGCAGCTGAATAAATTACCGCTGGTTATTAGCTTTATCGCTAGTCATAATTGTAATACGGGTCATATTTTATCCTTAGAGAATAAAATAGAACCAATTTTAAGTAACTTAAAAAATGCGGTGGTAGAAGCCTGATGGTTACCCGTAGTCCATTACGGGTGATAAATAATAAATGTTCTTCGGACTGCACTCGTGCGTACCTCGAAGAATAATTAATATGTTATTAGGCATTGTTATGTACAGTACCTATAATTGAAAACAAATTGATTCTATATTTGTTTATAAATGTAGTTTTATTAATTATTGTTTCCTCTGTCTCTCTTTCTTTTTTTCTTTTTATAAGAATGTATTCATTAGGTGCATTATTTTTTATGAGATTATTAAATAAGGAAGTATATATAGATAATTCACGATATCAACTTACGCATATTTTTATCGAATCATATTGTAATAATATAATCACGTATTTATAATAACATATTTTATAAAATAATGCATTATAAAGTATGCAATTATATTTGCTTAAAAGGTTAAATTATATTAGTTTATTGATAATGGCATAAATGCATATTGAAGAAAATGTAAATAATATCGAATATATATAGATATAAATTAAGTCGTATATAATATTAATAATTCTAAATCATCGAATTAAATGCTTTTTTAAATAACTTTATCTATCCTTTACAACTTGTGAAAAATCTATTAATACTTATAATTCGTAAACCAAAGGTTTGCCAGCTAATCCATTGAGAATATTTTGGGCAGCGACTATACTCATATCACTGCGAGTTTTTACAGTGGCACTACCTAAGTGTGGTAGAAGTACTGAAAACAAATTATATTAAAATAAATACGTTTATGATTATTAATATCAAATTTTTGTATATACGATGAGATCAAAGTTGCTTTCCCCATTTGATAAAAAGCTTCTTAAAGTAAAATGATTGATCCTCAACTCGAGAGATTTTTTCGATTAGATTTACGTGGATTCTGAAAACAACTCTGAGTAACAAGATAAACGTTTTCTTTAATTTTAACAGTTCGTGGTCTTCCCTTTTATGGTTTGTTAATGACATTCTATTTTCTAGGGAAAGCGACTTTTATCTTACCCTGTGTATATTATATAATACTCACCAGCATTGGGAAGTTTAAGTAATTCATGATCTACCGGCAATGGTTCAGGATCGGTAACATCTAAACCAGCAGCAAAAATTGTATGATTTTTCAAAGCTCTTACCAATGCATCCGTATCTACAACTTTTCCACGTCCTATATTAACGAAAACAGCAGTTTTCTTCATTTTACCAAAAGTAGTGTCATTAAATAAGCCTCGGGTTTCATTGGTTAATGGAGTAGCAACAATAACGAAATCACTTTGTGCTAGAAGTTCGTCCAAGGATACAAACTTAGCACCTAAATCCTTTCCTAATATTTGTAAGAAGAAGATACAACACAACAAATTTAATAAATTAATTTATTATTTATACTGTAAATATAATTATAAATGTTTTTATTTTGTTTATTTAGGAATACATACCCGCCTTTTTTTCTGAATGACCAGTATAAAGAAAAGTATTTACTTCAAATGGTACTAAACGCTTTAGTATAGCTTGACCAATACTTCCTAATCCAACTATTCCAACAGTGGAGTTACGTAATTCTTGCCCAAGTAACCAGTTATATAATGAAAGCACTTTTCCTCTAAAAATTACGGTATTAAATAATTACGATATTTAAATAATTAATGATTATTCGTTCACATTTTTATTAAATATTAGATTGTTGCAAATTTAAACACAGATTAGATTTTAAAATAATAGTAATAATAATAATAATAATAGTAATATTGATAATAATAAAAGAAAATACAATATATAAATATGTTTCTCCTAATTATTATTATTATTATTGTTATTATATATTTGATTAAATATGTAGAATTTGGGACATTACTCATTTATTTTTAAACGTCCTTCGTGACTTCGTCGGGCAGCAGATAAAGCTAAAAGAATAGCTACTTCTGCAACTGCAGCAGACAAAACATTAGGTGTATGACCGACCTTGATACCACGTCGTTTAATCTCGGGAACGTCCAAATGATCATAACCAGCCGAAATAGTAGAAACAACTTTTAAATTTGGTCCTATAAAATAAAACAATTTGAAAGAATACGATAAATACATTAAAGTAATAAAAATTAAACGGTTAGGAACATTAAACAAACGTGATATTTAAGCGAATTATAATAATTTTAAAAATTATTATAGTTAGCACGCATAACAGTCAGATGCCTCTTACAGTAACAATTAATAAATGATGGGAAATATATATATATATATATATATATATATTCTAGAATCTAGATAATACTTGGAAAAATATATAAATTTTATGTGACGGTAATTCAATGATCACGAGGATAAACGATTTCTAAGTAAATTATTATACAATACCGATCAATTTTCTTTCCAAGGCTACAGATATGTTGATCAGTTAAAGTAACTATATTCCGAGATTTCAAGATAATTTCAAGATATATTGTCTTCTTTTATTTTTACTTTTTATCTCTTTTCTTTTTCTTTTCTCTTACATTTCAGTAAAATTTCAAATGTTATCAACAATACGAACTATTATCAAAGATTGTCTTTAATAATAATAATAATAATAATAATAATAATAATAATAATAATAATAGTTAGTTATTACACACTTAATTACGCTTCATATTTATTATGTAATAATATTATTCGTTTACCTGCGATATTCAAAAATTCGGAATTTATGTTGACGTGGCCGGCGATCATAATAGCATCATGTCCAGGAACAGCTTGAAGGATTTCTTCACGTGTATTTGTGACATCCTGAAGAATCGTAACGTCACATCTACATTTGATATAATATTTTAATAATAATAATTATTGAAAAGAGAAATTGTAGATTAAATTTCAACATATCAAAATTTCAACGTATTAAAATATTTAATTGCAATAATAAAATTCGTTAATTTAGTAATATGATAATTAATAACAATAATAATCATAAAATAAGCATTATAGATCAGATCTCAATGGATCGTATTAAATAATTTTATTGCAATGCAAACATTTTTTTATTTACAGTTAGTAATAATAATATTAATAATAATAATTATTATTATAAAATAAAAATTGTTATATATATAATATTAGATTTGAATAAATCGTATTAAAAAATGTAATTGTAGTTAGAAAAATTTATTTACTTAGTTCGTAGAAGTTCGATTCCAGAATCAGGTACATTGTTGCTTGTAACAAACACGCGTGGTCTATTCATTCTCGACATTATTGTACGTGTGTAAAATGAATAATAAGTTGTTTAGAGTAAGATTACGTAGAGACTGGCATCTGTTACATTATAACGTTTTATATAACCCAGCCGATTAAATTATTTATGTGAAAACTTAGTCATTCAAAAAAGATAACATTATAGATAATCTTACTTGTGTAACTGTTATAGATAAAATTTTAGGAAAAGCTCACAACAAAGGTCCCACTTTCTCTATAACATATCTATTTTTTACAAGGCATATAATAATTGATAGTGAAAGTTAACGGGTATAAACGGATATGTATATGCGTTTCAACTACATTTTAATGATGACATTTTACGGATGCGCGTACGCACATACAAACACATGATTTTGTTTTGACTGTTTTTTCATCATAACAGGACACTGCGGTTACTTTGATCGGTAACCAAATTATTTTTATTTTTTAGCTCATGACCTACTATTACTTATTTATTTAAAACAATGAAATTTGAATCTCACTAGAATTTCAAATATGATTTTTTCTTATTTTATCAAGGTCATTATTAATAAAATGAATGAATGACGTAATATTAATTAGGAGTATTTTTCCTTGTCTGCTAGATTTAGTATTAGAAAAATGTTACTGGAGAAGAAAAAATAAATGGTTTAAGGGAAACCATATATTTTCGTTTACATTATTATTCTATTTGCAATAATGCATACGCATATCCTAACTTATATGTTATTGTAGCTAAGTATAAATATTTTAGTTAAAATGTTTTGATAATAGAAATCAGCATAAAAATTTTACTTCCATGGAATATTTAAATGATATAAAACGATGCTTTACAACATTGATTTTTAACAAGAGACCAATGTAAATAATTTTTTATTTCATATTTTTTCAATATAAAAATAATTTTTCATTCTTTCTTATATAATATGCATATGTATATGTAAACATTTTAAATTTCGTTGCATGAATAAAATGAAATATTATGTAGAAAAATTTGAAATATTGTATTTTTCAAATGATTGATGAAAATTAAAATAAACGAATGAAGTAATCTTAAAATATAATATACAATAATCACATGAATTATCACTAAAGTGGATCATTGAAATAAGTCATCATATTCAACTTTAATTACTTAATTCACTATCATCTATATTACTAGATCTAGAACTTCCCATTCCAGCTTCGCAAACTTCATTGAATAATTCAGGATTCACTTGTTCCATCATCTTCCAAGCTAAACTTTTATTAAGTACTGTTATATTTTCTTCGCAATAAGCTAAGCTTGCTCTCTTCAATGATTCACAACTATATTCGTCTGCTATTAAAAGTCTGCTAGCAACATTATCAGGTGTTATAGTTTCGATTAAATTCCTCTCACAAAGTTCTTTCAAACCTGAAAAAGATATGATTTTAAAGCAAGGCTTTATCTTGTACAAATATTAATTTGTCGTTATCATCGTTACCTTGTAGACAAAAACGTTCCGCTAAACATAATAATTGCGGTGCTAGATTATCCAAATTATCGACGTGATCACTGTAAATGTATCGTAAAAGCTCATCTATCGTTTCCTTGCAGATATCTAATAATTCCAATGAGAACAAATATTGGCCCTGGAAAGTGAAAAATAAGATTATATTATATATTTAAATTAAACACAATTATATATATATATATATATATATAAAGATAGTAAATTTGTTTATTATTAAAATTAATTTTATTTAATTACTCACCTGTTAGAGAATTATATTGAATTATATCAACAACAATCAAACAAATCAAAAGTAATACAAAACAAATGTAAATCACACATTTACAGTAAAATATATTTTTTAATACAGATTATTGCAAATAATATTTAACATGCGGGATTATATAAGCACACACAAGGATACAAATACAATAATATTTTTCATTAGGATAATATTGTATAAACAAAATTAATATCGAAAAGAAAAATTTAAAGAAACGTTGGAAAAGAAAAACTAATGTAAGATAGTTGGAGCATTTTCGTTTGCTTTTCGACGATTAAAGATTTTTAGTGATTGGCATCGAGTAGCGTCGAAAGCGTACTTCCATGTATTCATTTTTGTCTTCATCTCTTTCCAATTGTAGCTCGTTATTTTTTGAATAATCGGATATGGGTGATAACATTTCAGCTAGAACGTTACTACGAGCAATAATTATGCTGCTGTGTACTGGTATTACTGTACCAGACAATCCACCACAGATTAATTTGGTATCAGCTGTACGTGGATGTTTCAACAATTTGGCCATATCCTACAAAATATTAATAAATTAAAAAGATTCGTAAGAGTTGGATGTAATTTAAAATAAACAATTTTCTACGATACCTGAGACAAATTATGTTTTTCACTCTCACATTGTATTATTTGTATTTTGACCATCAAATCGACTTCACCATTTTTCTTCAGGTGTCTGTCGACAATGGACAAATCTCTATATCCAAGTGAAATAATCTCATTGTTTGATTTTAATTCCAATACCGTTCTACTAACGTGACAATATTCCCAGTGTTTGACATCGGCATTAAATACACCAAATTGAAAACGAATTTTAACTTGTTCAACTTCCTCAACGATGCAATTTAAGATATTCAAACACAAAACTACTGGGTTTGTGATTCTCTTGCCTATTAGCCGGGAAACATAGGTCTGCATTTTTAACAGTTATTAACTTACTAGATACAAATATTTTCTAAAGTACGTAAAAGGATTATTTTTAAATATTATTCTAATCTCTCACCCTCGGGTCCTTTCCAAAATCTTATTGATAAATTCCAAGAACTGTGAATACCATTAACATTCAATTCGAAATGTGGACTATCGATTGAACTGCTTTTCGATATTGTTTTCTTATAATTAGCTATGGACCAGGTATATTTGAAAATAATATCTGAAACTGTCGGTACCAGAAGCTCCATATTCCAATTGATCTATAATATAATCAAAACGAAAAGAAGAGAAAAAAACAAAAGAAAATGTATAATCGCAAAAATAATTGTAGAAATTAATTTGGTGCCATAAATGAATATTTAATTTATTTTATAAACGCACCGAATCAATGTCTACGCATAATACAAGATATAACGTGGATTAAATTCTAATTTTACACTAGGTAACAAAGTGTAAGAATAATTCATATAAAAATATAATATTCAAATTTTTATATTAATTTCAATATATGTATAAAACTGGATTTGTTGCATTAGTTTCTTCGATAGAAATGATTTCGCTTCGTCAACATGAGACTATATTTAGCAAATATTGTCGAGTGGTGGAAGCCCATTTTTGAATTTGAACGACTACGTGAATGCAAATTTGATCAATTCGCAGATCGTGCAAGTATCTCGTTGGTATCGCGTGTCCAAGTACATCTAATCAAGCTCAGTGCAACTTTGCCACGTAACACACGATGTTACACGCGACCTGTTAGAGAAACACGCATATACAGAGTGGGGCAATAACTCTCTGTTCATCTTGAATATATCTATGTTAGTAGTAATAATATAAAAGAAAAAAATATTTGTGATACAGAATTTTCTTGTATCGCATAGAGAGGGGAATATTTTGATGCCTATGTATTACTTATTGCGTAGAGATGAAAGCGTAAAGGAAACTTTTTCAAGATTATCTTCATTTATATTTAAATGGGGATGACCTTTTCTTATGACCGCTTTGCTAGAACCGGCGTTAAGACGGTTTCAAGAAGCTATTAGTGAAGATCGTCCAAAAGCAAATTTTATATAGTAAAATATATTTTCTTACGTTACAGAAGATATTCAAAATGGTAACCATATGCGTCAATACTACAGGACGAAAGGTCACATTAACTGTCAACAAAAACGTGTATATTATTCAGTGATATGAAAATTACTTTTTTTCATACTACTATGGTGATAATGTTTATCAATAAATAATAAATCAATACGTCTTTTACAGCAATATGAAAATTACATCTATGTATTATGTGTTTCAAATTCTATTAGAATATCGCAAAAACATGACATAAAGAAAAAATTCTTTCAACCACTACGTTTCTCCTGTGCAATAATGCAACTTTTCCTTTTGAAGTTTTTTAATATGATTGTAAACCGAGAAGATATTCAAGGTAGACAAAGTTATTGCCCCACCCTGTATATTCCTACATAAGGGAATGCTATATCTTATGTATAAATGCGTACGGCTTTCTCTCTCTCTCTCTCTCTCTCTCTCTTTCTCTCTTTCTCTTTCATTCTCTTTGGCAACGATTTTCGAGTGTAAATTACAGTGCTAGTTTCTGATCTTCAATATAGTCTTGCGAGTTGCAGCACTACGAGACTTTTATATAGTACAACTGCACTGCCAAAAACATGAATCGTTTAAACAGCTTCCTTTGCTATTTCCGTTTCAGCTTGTTTTGAGTTTGTTTTGTTATCTTGTCGGCCAAATATCTCGACTCGCAATAAAGTAATTTTCTACGAGTATTATACCGATGGAAAATAATTCATTGAATTGACTTAACGAATAAAACGTTCTAGATATTGAAATTTAATTAATAGAAATATTTTGTTATACGCGATCATTTTGATGTTTTACAAATAATTAGCTATTTGAAGCAAAAATGAAAAAAAAATAGAACAGAAAATTGATAAATTATTTGTAGGAATTATAAATATTTTTGTTGAATTTGCATTTCTGTATTCTTAGCTATAAAATCATAATATAAATTATCGT